TGACGCCCTTCAGAGACAGAAAACGAAAGAGCGATCGGCGGTTTATAGATTTCATTGGTTTTGCTAAATACATTGGTTTTCCATAACGATATCCTCTCCACTGAACCCCTAGTTAATATGATATACCAGTTGGCGCCGCACGCGTTGCGCGCACAGCACAGTTTTGCAGCCATATGGGGTGGTGCGGCGTAAATTCTCGAATTAGGCACAATACACTTCGAATATTTTACTTTCAAGCTGAATTCTATCCGAATGTCCCATGCCTCATCCACCGATGGCTTTTGAACTTCAATATTTCGTCAGCTAATTGACCGCTTTTACCGGTCTCGGACTGTACCTATGTTTTTCTTCCTCGCCAACCTCTCCCCACTTTTTACCCGATCTCTGGACTGTCTCTGAGCCGATTTATATTTGGCCGTAAAACCTCCAGTTTTGGTTTACCTCCGCACACCATTAGAAATTCAATCCCTTTCCTTTGCCCACTTTTTCCCGATTTCCAGGACTATTTGGAGCCGAGTTACAAAATTTTCTTAATAACTCCGCCCACACTGGACATGCCCAGTCCAGCGTGGGCGGAGTTATTAAGAAAATTTTGCATAGCAGTAATAGTAGTTGGCCTCCACTCCTTCGCCTACCTCTATCCTACTTTTTCCCAACCTCCGAGACTTCTTGGAACTGAGTTATGAATTTCCGTCGCAAACTCCGCCCACTTTGATGCACGCTTCACCCACCAATAGCAGCTGTTCTCCCGTGCATTGTCGGACTCGACCCACCTTTTTTCGGTCTCCCGGACCTCTCAATATGATAATATAAGTTTAGGGCAAACTCCGCCCCGTTGTTGCTCGTCCCACCCACCAATGGCAGTTGACCTCCCTTTCGTTGACGGACTCAGTTCACTTTTTTCCCGGTCTCCAGGACCTCTTGGAACCGAGTTATGAATTTTCGTTGATAACTCCGCCCACTTTGAACATGTCCAGCCCACCAATGACAGCTGGCCTTCACTCCTCCAAACACCTCCATCCACCTTTTCCCTGCCTCCGGGACTTCTTGGAACCGAGTTATGAATTTTCGTCGCAAACTCCGCCCACTTTGGTCAAGCCCCGCCCACCGATGACAGCTGGCCTCCACTCCTCCATACACCTCTATCCACCTTTTTCCGGCTCTTTAAGACTTCCCCGACCCGAATTATGAGGGCTTGTAGAAAATGCTGTACACTTCAGAGCGCGCCCCGCCCATTCTGGGCGGGCCTCCGCCCACGTCATGTATGCTGGGAAACACCTTAGACATTGCTCCCTTACACCAAATTGTTTTCTGCTCTGTAGGCTTTCTCCCAACCGAGTTATGAAATTTTTCATAAAGCACTGCTTTTTTGGAGAACGCCCCGCCCACCGGGGTGGGTCTCCCTAATTCGATGTGACTTACCAATGCACACCTTACCCACTTTTTGGCCCAGTTTCGAGGTCGTTTTGTCACTGAAATCGAAATCTTGGTCTTCGGTACAATTCATTTCGACGCACGCCACGCCCTCTGTGGGCGGGGCTCCGCTTAGCTGATGTGTGTTTTGTATTACGTGAGACCTTGCCCACCCATTCCACACTTGACCCGGTCCCTCCAGGTGGATCCCGAGGAGCTAGGGAATTTCGTGACAGACATACAGACGACAGACGAAGCGCTTTATAGTTAGTAGGATTGCCGCGTGTTTAGACCGTAACCCTTGGACATATGATCCCCTTTTCTAGACCTAAAAGGAGTCCCTCTTTGACAAATCATCAACCAACAGATGGTTGAGCCTGGTCGGCACGAAGACTTGCCATGTGCGCTTTCATTTGCCCTTTCTGGGCAGTGACGCAATCCTCATGTTCGCTTCACACTCACAAACTCCTTTACACACCAAATTCCTAGCTTATTTCACTAGAGACTAGCCCTGCACAATTTTTCTGATCTGTGCAGGTATGACATCTATCACACCACCGCGTCCGTGGCTGGAGTGGCGCCAGTGGCTAGAATGTGCGATCAGCTGTTTGCTTGTTCACTGGTTGAAGGTCTACACCTTGGACGATCGTTCGTCTTGGCTCACGAAATGGGACATAAGTGAGTTTGGCTCATTTTCCTCAATTAACTGTGTCCAGGTCTCGATAGCATTGACGTTTTCAGCATGGGGATGGTGCACGATGGTGTACAGAACCAGTGTAGCAAATCTTGCTGCTTGATGTCGGCAGTGAATGGAGCTGGTAAAACGACATGGTCCGAATGTTCCGTAAGAGAATTCAACGCATTTCTTCTGCAGCTGGAGTGAGTGCAACCAATTCTAGGGACGCTAATAATCTGCCATCATTGTAGAACACAACATCTTTTGCCTGAAATTCTACCAACTCCGCAATAGAATTGCTTTGAAATAATTCTGGCTTGGATGCTAGTTTCAACGCAGACTACTTCTGTGCCCTTTCTTTCATTATTCATTCTTCATTTTGTTTTATTTCTATTCATTTTTTGCCACTAAACTTTAGCACTTCCACGCCCTCATTTATCCATTGTCATCCATTCTGCAAAAAACAAATAGTGAAACTCAAATTTTTAGCGAGTCCGGCACAGGTAACTGCCTACGAGACGGCTCACCAGGACTCGTGGAACGTAATCATCTACAAGATGGCAGGTAAACGCTCCAAAGCATACTCGCTTCAAGAACTTTTTTTAATAATTTCTCCTCCTTTACTTGGAAAATGAATTCTTCTGGTGCTTGAATGCAGTTCATCTATTGCTTGTTCCATAATTTTCTATGCTCTTCTGTTGCTTGTATCCCAATTTCCTAATGCATTCACATTCTATGGGTCGAGTCTTAACGGAGGTAGGAATCGGAGTTGAAGGCACACTTTATGCTGAATTTACCTAGATCATTCTCTGTAGTGGTTAGGATAGACCTACCACCAGAGGTCGCAGAAGGAGCGCTTAGCCTGAAATTTCGTAGGTTTCTGTTTCTTCTCCTTATTTCACCATCGTCCATCCATTTCAAACTTCTCTTCTTGTTCGAGAACAGTGGTAACACCTAACAGGACGTGCGTTCTTCTTTCAAAAAGAAAAGTATTGTTTAAAAGCAGTCAGACGCTTTGCCTCCTCCTGGTCCGCTAAATCGGCGGAAAGGTTGCCTGACCAGGATGTTCTTCCGGGTCGTGCCTTCTTCTTCTTCTCCCTAGCGTTAGTCCCGCGCAGTCGCAGGGTCCGCTGTCTTTCTCAGTCGTCGCCATGTGTGTGTCTATCCAGGGCACTTCTGCTGTGGCGCTGACTTCAGTAAGGTCCTTATCAATTAAGTCTCTTCACTGCTGTCCACTGCTGCTGTAAAGCTGTAAAAAGCGGAAGGTTGCTTTTTTAACAGTTTAGTTAGCTTCTTCTACTTTTCTGTTGAGGAGATATATATTTGCGTCGAGGATCTATCGTGGATCCGGCCACCTAAAAGCCGCTCCCTTCTTCACCATTGCAAGTGTAATTCGTTGGCAACTCTCGAAATGTGTCTAGAATAAATTCTCCCAACATAAGCGACAAGAAAAGGGGCGTCATCGTCCGATCTCGTCTCAGTATAGGCCATGCATCCGACCTCCACTCAAGTTGTAGAATCTATTGAAAGGTGTTATACATATGATGATGACCTGTTGACAGAAACTGTATTGTAGTAAACACATTTCGTAACTCCTGTAACCTAAGGAACAGCTTCATTTGCCCATGGTCTTTCCAGAACTATTGCCGTTTGTGGGAATAACAGTGTCATTCTCAACGAGGTATTGAGGGCGAGGGAGCGGGTAGATAGAGGAAATGCCTTCGCAGCGCGTGTGCACATGTGACCCTGTTCCTTGCAAAGATGCACTTTCATTCTTTGTAGTACTTTCAAATACTTCCTTCTCGAAGGTAGAGGGACGGAGCGACTGAACCTGCAAAGAATATTTTATATCATGTTTTCTCACATATCCTTGTTTTCTGCTGCGCTACACCCTCTCCCTCCTATCTGCACCACGATGCCACTGACGTTACTGACCCCCACGAGTACGACCCCCCATGACCCACCCTGACAAATACGACCCCCTGTCGAGGATTTCCTCGACCGATATTCACCTTGCTTCGAAGTCCATTGCTGTTCTTATCGGATGATCCTGTGGCCTCCTTAGCACATGCCCATACCATCGCAGACGCTGTTCCCGTACCTTCAGCTGGACAGGGGCAGTCTGCATGACCGCTCTGACATCCTCGTTTCTAACCCTGTCCAGCCGCGTCCAGCCGCAGGCATCCTCATTCGGCGGAGTGAAGCTGCCTTTCGTGATTCTTGTTCAGGGCCAGCACTCGCTGCCGTAGAGCATCGCAGGCCTTACCACTCTCCTGTAAACTTTCCCAAAGCCTTTACCGCCTGACACACTACCTTAGGCCGATCGCTTCCAAGGTAGAGGAATTCCTCCACCCTTTCGATGGTCTCACCATGGCCGTCACGATCGGCTCTGCACCCTCTTCGGAGCTCAGGAACTTGGTCTTCTTGACATTCAGCCGTAGCCCACCTTCTGCCAGGACTTTCTGCCATTTCTGCACCTTGGCTTGAAGTTCCTCTCTGCTATCCGCTATCAAGGCGATGTCGTCAGCGTAGAGGATGGTCTTCAGTGGTCCCTCCATGAGCCCTTCACCAGGACATCTAGTGTTAGGAGGAAGAGGAACGGGCTCAGAGCTGACCCTTGGTGCACCCCAACCGTGATGTCCACCTCCTTCGTTAGGCCGTGTGGGGTGCGTATAGCTGCCTTGGCTCCATCGTACATGTCCTTCACCAGAGAGATCAGGTGTTCTGGCACGTTCCGTTCCCTGAGCGATCTCCATAGTACTGCTCGCGGTAGCCGGTCGAACGCCTTCTCCAGGTCGAGGAAGGCTAGGTAGCAGGGTCGGCGCTTTTCTCGATACTTCTCCATCACTTGCCTTGCGATGAAGATGGCATCCGTTGTAGACCTTCGGGCATGAACCCGAACTGTTCCTGGGAGATCGGGACCAGCTCCCGCAGTTTCGAGTCGACCAGTCGCTCGTACAACTTCATGGTATGCGCAGTCAACTTGATCCCGCGGTAGTTGGAGCAGTCCATCGCGTCACCCTTCTGCTTGAAGATGGGGACGATAGTACTTGTTCTCCAGGCATCGGCTTCCTTCGGCAGTTACCGTGTTCAGGAAGCGGGTGAGCCATCTTACCCCGTGCTCTCCAAGCGCCTTCCAAGCCTCTATTGGTACTCCATCGGACCAACCGCCTTTCCAACCTTCATCTTCCCAAGTGCGCACCGAACCTCATCCAAAAAATCAGTCGAGAACACGCAAAATGGGACCACTTTCTTTGCCCGTTGACCTCCGATAATGGACGAGCTAGCAACCAATTAAGAGGTTTTTGCACATGTTAAACCGATAGCCACCATCATACCAGCAAAGGCCATGCTTTGATTGGTAACGCATTCCATGGGAAAGTTATAGGATACGCACTCAAAGCGGAATACCTCATCAAAATGATAATCGAAGGACGCTGCTGCTGGGGGCGGAGCACAGGCCGTGGCGGAGCTCAGAAAGGAATGGCAAGCCCAGTACGCTGCAACTAGCGCACCTTTGGCCACAAAACGCCCTGACTACTGCTTCCACTAGTGTATGCACTTTGACACTACACACACACTTTATCGCAATCTCTCGCTTCAAGATGCACCCTGAAGTAATCTTCCCACCTCCTCCGAACTTGGGCTGGCTTCCTCAGATGGCGCCGTTGTTGCTCTTCACGCTCTTCACCACCCTGATGTCTTGAGTAGCCCGATGCCGGGCTTTAGCCAGTCTGAAGACGAACTTCTCTGCGTTTCTGCTTTCCAACTTCTCGTACAAGGCGTCCATTTCCGTGTTCTTCGCCTTGGCGACGGCAGCCTTCGCAAGCCTCTTGCAGGTTTTGTAGGCAGCGGGCTCCTCAGGGTTTGGCATCTTCTGCCAGCGTCTGTCTGACGTCAACCTTTTCTACTTGATGCAACTTCTATCAACAACTTCCACCTTTCCTCCTCTCGGCTCTTACCCTTGTCTTCTTGGGGAGGTCCATGGCTATGTCTGCCAGGAGGGCCTGTGCTGGGAGCCAGTTCTTCGCCAGGGAGTACCTTGATGTCCTTCACAGTTCTGAGGGATGATCTTCTTACCAGCACATGGTCGATTTCCGTTTGTCTCCCTCCACTGCTGTAGGTTACCTTCTGAGTCTCCCTTTTCGCGAAGAACGTGCTGCAGATTGCCAGATCGTGGGCTGTAGCCAGGTCCAGAACCCTCTCTCCCTCAGCGTTCCTCGTTCCTATCCCTCTACCTCCGTGCACCCTTTCCAGGCCTCTTCTGTCACTGCCGACGTGACCATTCAGATCACCTGCTATGGTGAGGTAATCACCTTCCGGAATCGATCTGATGGCTTCGTCAGGCTAGATAGAACTCGTCCTTATCACTTTCGGGGCATCCGGCTTGCGGTGCGTACACGGAGAGTATGGTCCAGTACCCCTCCTTCGTGTCTATCCTCACAGCCATGATCCGATCGCTGATCCTGTTCACAGCGGAGACATAGTCCTTGAGCGACTCCGCTACCGCTATGGCCACACCGTTCCGCTTGGTGTCTTCTCCATTGTAGTAGAGTTTGACACCTTCCCCGATTTCCCTGGCCTTAGCACCTTTCCATCGCGTCTCCTGAAGGCATAGGACTTGGATATTCCTGCGCGTCATCAGATCAGCAACCTCTCGGGACTTCCCAGTTAGCGATCCTACGTTCACAGTCCAATTCGAACTAGCTTCTTTGGCCGAGGCCGCTCACTTCTTACCAGGGAATGCTTTGAGCTTCCCATGGAACTTTGAAAGGAGACCTAGGTACATCGATAGAGTCTTGGACGCTGATTACAAATATGGACACTAAAACTGCTACGTGAACTTTGTAAGAAAGTTGTGAGCCTTAAAAGTTGCAAAAGAACGCTAATGATGAGGTGCTATGTGGAAACACGGTTGCTTTTTGCCTGGAACTTGTTCTATAAGGGTAAATGGGTGCCCTGATTACGAATATGAGACTCGTTTTTGGCGCAGAGCCACGGCGACTGTGATTCCACCAGGTAAGCTCGCCTCAGTAACGTTTTTTGCCAACTTTGAAGGCTCATAACTTTCTTAGGAAGTTCACGTAGCAGTTTTAGTGTCCATATTTGTAATCAGCGTTCAAGACTCTATCGATACATCTAGGTCTCCTTCCAAAGTTCCATGGGAAGTTCAAACATTCCCTGGTAAGAGTTCGTCATCA